TCACCATTGACAGCTGTTCCCTAAACATAATAAATCCTGAGCTCTGGAATTCCCCCAGCCTCCATACTTCTTTCTCCTACTTTTTTAAAACCTACTTCTTTGACCAAACATTTGATTACCTAACATTTGTTGTAGTTTAGTGTCAAACCTTGTCAATGTGCCTTGAGTTCTTTACTCATTTACTCGCATTAATATAACACCATTTAACAGCAGTATTGCAGATCCGCAAGCAAGTTATTGCATAAAAGTACAAATGACTGTATGCTGGTTAATGGTGTCAGTGATCATAGGAATTTGATTTGATGCATTGAGAACTTTACAAGAGGCCTATTACAAATTTAAAATCTTCTGGGTTAAATATTATTTTCTAAAAACATATTTTTATACTTTTTAATTAAAACTGTGTAACAATAATTTTCCTCCCTTATTTTATACCCTTCACTTTGACTTTTGCCTTTGCTGCTTAAAGCGGGTGGGGGGTTTGCACCCAGGCTGATTAGGAGGAAAGAGATCAGTCTGAAACTTGTACAGTTGGGAAAACGAGCAAGTCAAACAGTCAGGCAGGCAGGAACAAAGCAGAGAATGAGGTAGGACTGATAAATTAAACTGAATTTATTTCAATGTAAGAGGCCTAACAGGTAAGGCAGGTACATTCAAGACATGGTTTGGAACATGGGACTGGGATATCCTAGCAATACAGAGACGTAGCTCAGAGATGGACAGGACTGGCAGATGCTATAGATATAGATGCTATAGGAAGGATAGAAAGGGGACAAGAGGAGAGTGGCATTTTTGACTATGGATAACATTACAGCTGTACTTAGGGAAAATATTCCTGGGATTATGTCCAAGGAAGTTATTTGGGTGGAACTGAGCAGTAAGAAAGGGATGATCACCTTATTGGGATTGTACTATAGACCCCCTCCCCAATAATCAGCAGCAAACTGAGAAACAGATTTGTAAGGAGATCTCAGTTATCCATGAGAATAATAAGGTCATAATGGTAGGGGATTTTTAACTTTCCATATCCCTCTAAAGCCTTCCTATTCATATACCCATCCAGGTGCCTTCTAAATGTTGAAATTGTACCAGCCTCCACCACTTCTTCTGGCAGCTCATTCCATATGCGCACCACCTTCTGCATAAAAAAAGTTGCCCATTAGGTCCCTTTTAAATCTTTCCCCTCTCACCTTAAACCTATGCCCTCTAGGTTTAGATTCCCGCACCCCAGGGAAAAGATCTTGTCTATTTACCCTATTCATGACCCTCATGATTTTATTAACCTCTGTAAGGTCACCCCTCAGCCTTTGACACTCCAGGGAAAACAGCCCCAACCTATTCCACCTCTCCCTTTAGCTCAAACCCTCTAACCCTGGCAACATCCTTGTAAATCTTTTCTGAACCCTTTCATGTTTCACAACATCCTTCCTATAGCGGGGAGACCAGAATTGCACGCAGCATTCCAAAAGCGGCCTAACCAATGTCCTGCATAGCTGCAATTCCTATACTCAATGCGATGTCCAATAAAGGCAAGCAGACTAAACGCCTTCTTCTAGGCCCGAAACGTCAACTTTCCTGCTCCTGTGATGCTGCTTGGCCTGCTGTGTTCATCCAGCTCTACACCTTGTTATCTCATTCTCCAGCATCTGCAGTTCCTACTATCTCTCATTACTTTTAAATGCAGTCATAAAACAGACACCTGACTTGTGGTTTGAACAGCCTAAATTGCCTTTACAGTAAATAAACAAAAACTCCTCAGAAAAGTTCTAAAGAGGAATGGAGTGGAGAGGTTTCAGAAGGCAATTCATAGGAGAGGAAGGCAAGGCACTTCTCAAAGGTGTCATATAAATGCAATTTCATTTAGCTTACCCAATAATCGCCTTTGTCTGCTTCTGCCTGCAGTGCAGTCAGTCGTTGTACTGTTTCCATGTCATTATTGCTGAGTGTGTGAATGACTGAGGATGTTTTTAGCCTTGCTATTAAATCCATTTGCAGGTTAGCTGATTCCCTTAGGGCAACTATTGTCTGTTCAGGAAATGTCCTCTTCACTCATTGCAGGAGGAAATGAAGAGTATCAATCCTGTGTGAGACTTTGTCAATAGCCTGTGTCGGGCCCACGACCATATTCAGATGTTAATTGAGTAGAGTTTGCTTCAGGTTGAATACCTTGCAAGCCAGTTTGAAAAGTTCTTTATTTCTCCTATTTTTTTTAATGTGATATAAACTATGAAATTGCTTCAGTAACATTTTGTGCAATAAACTTCCACAGCATCTCCCCACATACACTTTTGTACTACTTCATTGTGTTCCCATCTAAAAAGAAAGGCATAAATCCAGAGTTCACATTATGGAAATTCCAGCGCAGATGGGGACCATATGACCCATCGTGTCTGTGTCCGTGCAGCCCTTGACTGGAATCATCATTAATCCCATTTTTTTTTTGTTTGTCTCTTTCTGTTCTTTTCATTTCAAATACTTATCTCATTTTTAAAGGGAACAATGCTGTGACTGGAATTCTGAATTAAAAGTATTACTCCCACTGCTCTACTCTGTTCCCCGCACAGGTTGGTTAGCTAGATGGCTGAATTGTAATGCAGAGTGACGTCAACAGTGTGGGTTCAATTCTGACACTGGCTGAGTCCAAGAACTCAGGCCCGAAATGTCAACTTTCCTGCTCCTCTGATGCTGCTTGGCCTGCTGTGTTCATCCAGCTCTACACCTTGTTATCCCCTTAACCTTCCCCTTGCTTGAGGTATGGTGACCCTCTGGTTAATCCACCGCCAGTCATCTCTCTCTAATGAGAGAGCCTCTTTATGGTCTGACAACTTTATTGCAATTTGGAAATTGCCACTCTATTGGTTCTAGGGATGTTGAACAATTTGAAAAAGCTGGAGCAGTGTTCAGGTGGTGAGGGTTGCCCATCTAAAGTGCTTACTTGGCTTTTAGCAACACAAAAATTACCCCTTGCCGTTCTGAATTTAAAAATTACTGTTCTGAGGAAGGGTCACCGGACCCAAAATGTTAACTCCGTTTTTCCTTCACAGATGCTGCCAGACCTGCTGAGCTTTTCCAGCAATTTCTGTTTGTTTCCTGTGACAAAAATTACCCCAATGCACGTCATGCATGTTTCTGTTCAGGGAGGATGGATGTGAATGTTGAAGGATTGTTGTCCCTGTTATTTGACACATTGGAAAGTATTACTGCATGTAGTTACAGAGAAAGATTTCAATGTAAAAGGTGAGGGTGGGAAAAGATGCTAGATCAAAGCTTCACTATTGATTGCCATGCCTTCGCTGCAATGTCCCTAAATCTGGAATTCCTTTCTGAAATTTCTCTTTCTGTTTTTAAAAGGAGATTTTAATAAAAGTATAGCAAACCAAATTGTTTGCTGTCATACCTTCTCATTAAGTAACATATTTTGTTAATACTACATGATGTGCGTTGGGGTAATTTTTATGTTGCTAAAAGACAAGTAAGCATTTCAGACGGGCAACCCTCCATCAGCTTAACCCTGCTCCAGCTTTTTCAAATTGTTGAACATCCCTGGATGTCCCAGTATAGTCACTTTGTCTCATTAGAACTGATGGCCCTCATTGTCTGTGTGTATCGAGACACAGTACAACAAAAGACACTAGCAGTGCTACCCTACATCAAGAATATATCAGAAATGACAACCCGACTCCATAGACCGCATAAGATCATGATTACACACAAACCTACATAAACACCGCGTCAAATGCTATCAAAGACTAATGACGCCATACCGACAGTAAACAGGACTAACATGATACACAGAATCCCACGTAGCAAGTGCAATAAATATTATATTGGACAAACGGGGAGGACACTGATCATTAGAATACACAAACACCGGCTGGTAGTAAAAAGACATGACCAAAATTGTCTCAATATACACAGACAGTGAGGGCCATCAGTTTGACTGGGACAAGTGAACAACAGACATGCAAGGGAATTTCTGGAGGCCTGGTTCTCAACACAGGATTCCAATAACAAACACATAGAAATAGACCCCGTATATAGACTGCTGCTAAAAAACAGAACCAGAAGTGACAAGACCCATCACACCAGGGGATTGTATAAATTCGGAACAGAGCAGAACACCAACGCTTTGATTAGAGGTCGCACTGATGATGTTGCCTGGAATGGTAACGAAACGTCTGCACACCACGGAACAACCGGCTCGGTGAGCAAATAAACACCTATGCCTAAATCATTCTTGCAAATGAAAACCATAAGCGTTTGTACACGTATTACTCTGCATGCTAGAAAGGGGAGAATGCGGTAGAATGGCACTTGATGAAGTGCTCATTTAGAGGGAGAGCTGCTACAGACATGGGCTGAATGATTACATGCGCTGTAGCGATTCTGTAATTCTGCTTTCTTTAAGTCCCTGTATGTCAAGTAAGGGCAGAATGTGATGGAATTGCTGAAAAGCTATTTGACTTGGAGTTTCATTGTTTCTGTGATTTTTATTTTTCAACTGTTTCCAATTTAAAGTATCATAAATCAACCATATTCAGAACTTTGTAATTTAGTGTTTCGGTTTAAAATTTGCAATTTCTAGGCAGTTAAATTCAGAAATATAGATTGGGAGGTTTGATTTCTAGTCAGTTGGCCGTTATTTGGAGCTGCAATTATAATCTACAATTCATCTGAACAATCTTTCTGCTTTTGACGGTAGAGAGAAGTGGGAGATAAGTTGGGGAAACTGTATTTCTTTGATAGCCGGTGAAGTTTTTATCACTCCCAGTGAAGTGGGAGTTGACTGAAAATTGAATGGTAATAGCAAATCAAATAGCTTGATATCTAGTCTTCATTCAGTACTTAAAGAGGAGCCACCTAAGTCAGTCAGGCAGAAGTTACTAGAGTCTGCAACTAGCTATGGGGCAGAATCCAGCTGTTGAGATCATTTGACAGAGGGAAGCTAATCCATTTAAAATTGCAGCATTTGTAACGTGTTTCTGTTCCATGTCTTTCAGCTCCAAGTCCAACTACAGGAGTTTCATACCTTGCAACAAAATGTGTGGATGTAAGGAAGCATCATCAGAAATCGAAGTGGTTCATGCCATGGGGTCCCAACCAGTGCGAAAAGAAAATCCAGAAGTTTTCTGAAGCTATGCAGCAACAGATTGGAGCCAATGATATTGTGTTTGCAATCCATGTTCCACACCAAACCTTGGAGATGAGTTCCTGGTTTCAGTTTCTGCTGGTTGTTCTGCAGTTTGAGATCGAATTTCAAATCGGCAATGAGATTAGTAAGTTTTGGTATGAGGGAAGAGAGACATTTGTTTTAGGAAAGTTGGTTCATTTTATTATGGGCGGGGAAGGGATAGTTATAACAACAATTTTTATTTGTATAGCACATAGTGATTTAAAAGTTTGAAAGTGCTTCATAGAGTACTATGAATATACGTATGTATTTTTATTCCTGGAAAAAAAGCAAGCTACATTGGAGCAGATGATATAAATGCTTGGTTAAGTAGTGTATTGAAGAAAAAGAGCAGGGTGGAAAGATTAAGGGAGGGAATTCCACATCTTGGAGTCTTGACAGCTAAAAGCATAGCCATCAAAGATGTACGAATTTATAATCAAATGTAAAGAGATCAGAATTAGAGGACAGCAAAGAACTCAGAGGATTGGAGAACTAGAGATTGTAGAAATAGGCAGAGGTGAGGCCATGTAGAAAATTGAATTAGAGGATGAGAAATTGTAATATTGGAGCACTTTTTCATTAAATGGAAGCCACTGTAGGTCAACGGGTACAAGGTTGATGGGCAAACGGCATTTAGTGCAGGTTAGGACACAGGTAGCATGGGAAGCTGGGCAGGATAGTGTTAGCATGGAAAAGTCTAAGAAAAGCATGCTTGAGGATTTCAGCAGCTGAAAAAGCTAGAGTAGCAATGGGGAGTGGTGTATTCTGGAGGTGGGAATAAGCTATCAGTGATGTTGTTAATATGTGGTTGTGAGCTCATCTTGTGATCCAGAATAATGCAGAAATAGGTTTTTTTAGGAAATGGGGAATTTTATTCCACTTTTTTACTCTGTGGCTTGACCCAGGGTTACTCTCTGTAAAGTTGATAGGTCAAAAGCACTGGAGAAGCGCTGTATGGGTTCTGAAGGTACAGAAAAATAAATACATCTTTAAAAGTAAAATACTGTGGAGGTTGATTTAAAAACCATACAATGTCAGGAATATTCAGCTAGTTCAGCAATGTCTGTGGACAGAAAAACAGTCAATGATTCAGGTCAATGACCTTTCATCATCGAACTTGAACTTGACCAGAGACATTTATACTACAATTGGCTTCAACAGTCCTGTTTTGCAGGAGAAGGAGTACTGCAGAAGCAGATTGGGTTCTGGCTCCTGATCACTTTCTAGTGATTTGTTTGCATTTGAGCCTGATGTCAAGTAGCCTGTCATACCTATTTTCAAGGCTCTTTGTTTGAAACATGGTCTCTTGGTTGAGATATTACAGAACTATTAAAACCTTTTACCACTAGTAGTTGATGCCGTGAGATGGGGAGATGACTGGGGGTGATAAAACTTGCTTACACTGTAATTGTAGCACTCCATAGCTGAGCTATTAAGTCAGCTCAGACTAAGTTTTTCAAACCTAGGTTTTTCTTGGTTTTTATGGCTCTCCAACGTAGGAATGGGGAATTGAGAAGAAGTCTTGTGTTTACTCGGATGCAGACTAAAACTCTTGACACTGGCCTGATTTGTGTGTGCATATAATAAGCATATTTTCCACTAGCCAAGAATAACCCAGGATAACCTGGAAATTATTATTGCTTTTTATTTTGACTTTTCTTTTTATCTGATGCCTACATTTTTATTCACTGATCCATTAGGGGCAGTAACTCTACTGTAACCTGGTATCCCATTTTGAATGTTTTCCCTTTCATTTGACTTTGTAGCATCTAAGCGTTAGATCCTGGAGTACTATTCTGTGGGAGTCCAAGTGTCCAATTTGTCAGAGTATAATCTTCACCCGGCATAACAAAAGTGTTGCTATTGGGGAGTCTCTCAAATGGCTGAAAGTAGGTCCCAATCCATCTTGTGTGTATGTGTGCCCTGCAACTGTCTGGCATGACATGGAGCCACATAGAGTAGGACAATCCCGGTGTATGCTGATGGAAAAACAGATACTGAAAAACACACTCCTATTTCCAATGCAGTGATTCCTGCTAGAGTGCTGTGAATTTTTGACATCACGCAAGAAAATCCACGCTACAGTAAATAGCTAGCCAACACCAATTGCCAAGGCTTTACCTAAATAATGCTCATTTGAATGAGTTACAAGAGAGCTTTTTATGGCTAATCATAAGGGTGGGAGGAAGATTGAGCCTTGTATCTGACTAAGTTGTACTGAAAGACTTTGCAAAATATTTGAGCAGGCAGTTGGATCAAGAGTTTATTTTGCATGAGTTTTGATAGAATTGGAAGGTAATTGATAAGAGCAAAAACTACCAATAGCAATCATATCCCCTGTGGGTGAAATGAAGCTTATTCACACAATCAGGATGAAATAAATACTCTACTTCAACAACATTTGGCAGCTCTCCAGCAATAACACAGCTATTGAAGTGGATTAGTTGTCAGGGGTGACAGACATGGCGGAGTGACAGAATGTTAGATTGGCAAGTACTCCAGGCCTTGAGGAGAACGCTCACTAATCTGGCGCTTGACCACAAAAAGTTTTCTGTTCTGTTCTTGGACAGAGAAAAGCTTCACAAAAAAGATTTTATGTTCCAACATTTGGAGTGTTTCTAACCTATTATCGAATTTTTGTTGTGCATTAGACAATCTAAGCTTCTACATTTTAATAGAAATGGGGGGAGAAGTTCATGTGAAATGAACTTGTTACTGGGCTTAAAATCCACAAAACACATCATTCTTTCCCAAGTTGCATTATATTCTGGGATCAAGAAAATACTTATTAGTTTCTGTGACCCACTGCTCGTGATTGCACATGCACATTCCAGAACATGTAGTTCATGTAAACATAAACTCAGTTCTGATTTTATTCTTTGCATCAATCTTTATTCATTTGCTGCCTTCTGTTGCTCTAAACGTATTCGGCTAAATCAGTATGAGCTGAGATTTAAATCTGGAATGGTGTGGGGTGCCCCAAAACTAGATGTATTTGCCCTGTAAACCATTGGAGAATCTTAACAGATCCTCCCACACCACTATTATAATATCTATTGTTACCACTGTGCTGAAATTCCAGCTGCTCGTTGACAATATTAACGTAACATATCTCACACTGTAAATATTTTTTAAAGGAGCAATCATATTGTTATTACACACTATAAGAATTTAAGATGCTAAAATACATGCTTTTGGCTTTAGGATGTGTATGTGTGCTGTAGAAAATGCAGATCTTTTGAAGTCTAATGTTCTGGGGACCCAGGTTCAAATCCTGCCACGGCAGATGGTCGAATCTAAATTCAATAAAATATCTGGAATTAAGAATCTAATGATGACAATGAATCCGTTGTCGATTGTCAGGAAAACTCACCTGGTTCACTAATGTCCTTTAGGGAAGGAAACTGCCATCCTTACCTGGTCTGGCCTACATGTGACTCCAGGCCCACAGCAATGGGGTTGACTCTGAACTGCCCGCTGGGCAATTAGGAATGGGCAATAAATACTGCCTGGCCAGTGACATCCTAATCCCGTAAATGAATTTAAAAACAAACATTGTCTGATATCTGCTATTCAATGGCTCCCAAATTGTTACTATAAGAGGAAACCTGTGCTTGCACAATCAATCACTTCAGGATAGGCATGAAAGATTTTAAAAATTATTTTCAAACAAGTGATAATTGTATTTATATTACTGATAACAGTCTATAAATGGATAACAAAGATTGTTCAATCCAAAAGCGGATAATGACCAGTGTGTTTCACTGGCAGGTCTCTGTAATATGACCTGTATCATGGTAGTATGTAGACGATATTGACTGACCTTGTATCACTGACTTCCCTCTTGTATTTCTTCTCACATTCTTGTGTCTCATTACTGTACTCAACATTCAACCTGACATAGTGTCAGCAAGAATCCTGGGGCTAATTTAGAAGTTGCAGACTATTTTTTAAAGAAAAGGTTTTTACTTTATCTTTTCAAATGGTAAGAACCAGCACAGACATGCTTTCCTGAATGGCGGCTACCAATGCTGTAAGCTTCTATAAGCTTACAAACAGAATGGTATCCCCTATTGCAAACATTCTTTTTGTTTTGTCCATGCCAGGGCTTTGAAATAACTTTCACTTCTATAGTACTACAATTGTCTTTCTCTTCAGGTGATTATCCAATTTTATTTTGAAGTAAACTTTTTTATTTTAAAACAAAGCTGCTGACAGTCTAATGTGGTGTAACAGGTAAAGGCAGCCTTTCAGGAACTCTTCCAATTGACCATGTTCCATGTGAGAGCTTAAATATTACATTAACTGATTATTTGACTTGATGTCTTCACACAATGAATCTCCAGGAAGAGGTGTTTGATGGTAGTGAAGAGCTGGAACTGAAGAAATAAATAATTCCAAAGTTTGTGTTCCTAGGAAGCGGACTTGTTGCTCAGTTGAGGCCATGAAATATTCCAGTTCGGTCATTTTATGCACAATATTTTGTGTTTGCATGTCAGCAATTTGCAATGGTTTCCTCTTTTTAGCGCCTCTCTAGTTTTGATTTGAAAGAATTATGTAAGGGAAGTAAAGCACTGAAATATTTATTACTCCATTCTGGAAAGTGACCTTTTGTAAAAATATATTTTTCCTTTGTTATTGAAGCTAGTGAAGCCAGGGGCATGATGTACTGATGACGGATGCCTGTAATACCAATAACTCTTTGATGCCTAGACTTTGAAATGGAAATAGCTGTTGCATCGATGCCAAAAATGCCTCCTTCTTAAGATTAATTTTTGATGACTAGGCAATTTAAAAAACAAAGTGTGAAAGTCTGAGTATTTTTTATATGTGCTTTGGGTCACGCTCCATTAATAGCAGGTCAATGTAGTCACAGTTCCTATTCTTGCTGAATTTAAGTTGTTTAAATGACAGAGTAGTTTTGGGAGTCATGGAGCTACTGCACATGTGTGGAGTAAGTGTCTACACATTACAAAAAGGCTTCCTTATATTTTTATTCCTGTAGGGACCTTTCCAGTATCAAAGGGAGAATCACACAGGGTTAGCTTATGCCAAAGGTAATGTATAAGAATACCGGTAAATTTAATCTTAATCCCTAATTAAGTATAGTAGTTAGCGTTAAGTATGTAAATAATCAGAGCAAAAAATGGACAAGACTTTTGTAGTGGCTACCATTTTAGCTCCGCTATCACAGCACTATTTTTTGTTGAAGGTGTCCAGAACATATTGTAAAATTAATGGAAATGTCAATATTGATTATATCTATATTGACTAAATACATAAGGAAAGTGAATGTAGCAATTAGCTCTAATCAAAAGTGGACCCAACTGACTTTGGTGAACAGTAAACATACCTGAAGTGTCGATCTTGCCTTAACATTTGACTAAGCGCTGCACTTCTGTCTTTTATTCAGAATTCACTCATTAGCAACACTTCCTTTCTAAGAATCCAGTGTTTGGTGCTTTGTCCATGTATAATGTCTATGTATTTACACACCACTGAGCAGTTTGGGGTGAAGACCTTAGTTCCTTTTTCGTTTTCTGTTAATTTGCTTATTCCTAGACGGTTGAGTAGGTGAGAATAGCAGTTGAGTTTTCTTCATTCCAAGTGATCCTGCTGGAAAATGCTATGTATGTCTGAATATTTGGATAAGAATCAAACCAGGCTTTGCAGTGATATTCCACTAATGTCATTTAGCAAAAGTATCCCGAGTCTGCTGGACCCTGAATGCTCTCCTTATGAGAATTGTGGGATTATGCTTTAACAGAGGCTACTGCCTTTTGAACAAGGACTGGTGAGCACTTCTAATGCAATAAGAAGT